GGTGCTGAGGATCGAACCCGGGCCGCACGCATGCCAGGCGAGCGTGCTACCACTTGAGTTACATCCCCAGCCCTTAGTAGTGGCCTCTTTTGAAAATATTTAACAAAAAATTGATGGATGGGAGGGGCTAGGGGTGTGGCTCAATGGTAGAGCACTTACCCAGCATGTGTGAGGCACTGGGTTCGATTCTCAGCACTGCATATAAATAAATGAATAAAATAAAGGTCCATCAACATCTAAAAAAAATTTTTTTTTTAAATGGATGGCTGGTATATTAGTTCAAGTAGTTCAATGGATGAACGCATAGTAGTTCAATATCTAGCAAAACTCAATGGCAAATGTTTCTAATTTTTGTTGTAGAGCACAAGGACTTGGTGCTATTTGTGTGAGTCTGACTTTATTTTCTCCATGATGATGCATCTGATGCTTCAATGTGCCTTTTTTCCCCCCCCTCGGTTTTCAAGGCCTTGATAAAGTTCAAAAGTTATTTGTATTTTGAGGAAAAAGACTTTGTGGATAAAGCAGAGAAGAGCCTAAAGCAGACACCCCATAGTGAGGTGAGTCATGGTCATAAAAACAACAGAATTATAAGGCCTTGAAGATTGAGACCTGTCCCTTAGTGATAAAAGTGAAAAGATGAAGCCCAAAGGAGAATACAGGGATTTGAGGGTAACATATCTAGGCAGCAGCACAGCAAGTGCCCAGTCCTGCCTACAGACTTTGTGCTCTTGCTGTGGTACCATGGTGTAGCTATTAGAGGGGTGATAGCGTTCTGTCAGGAACACTCTGTAAAGAAAAGAGAAGTGTGATAAGGACAGGAAATTAAGGAAGCAAGTGAGATGTCCTTATTCTTTATCAGAGATATCATGTACAGAGGAACATGGGCTAGGGGAGGGGGAGACGCTGGCTAATGCTCTAGAACTCTCTCTGCCTCCCCTTCCTAGGTAATAGATTGGGGACATAATTACTCATAGTCCTAGCACAGTCCTGGGCCAGCCTTCAGGGCCAAAAATCAAAAGGGTAAGGGGAGCAGGTGGAAGGAAGAAAGTTCTGGGCTATAAACATTTTTCCATTAAAAATGCTGTGAAGTCACCTTGGACAGTAGTAGAAAGAAGTACAGTTCCACTTATTTTGGGGGTGGGGGTATATATGTGTACACACACACACACACACACACACACACACAGAGGAAACCATTAAGAGATCTAAGGACAACGAGATATTCCTGGTGGTTAAGAGAGCATATTCAAGATAATTGTAGGAGAGAACAAAGAAAATGAATATTTGAAGACTATGACAGATTTCTAAGAGAACTTCAAATTTAAAAAAAAAAAAAGAACTTGAAATGTTTCAGAGAAATAACGATTTACATGGAAGATAGATTACTTACAGGCACAATATAATGAGGAATAGGAAGTACAACCGTTTGATATGTGTAGCATAGGAATTCAGAAAAATAAGAAACCTGAAGTCCACTGAAGTGTAGCGCATGCGTACATTGAGTTTTAAAATATTCTATAAATATAAAATATTGTTATACAAGCTATATATTATTCTTAGAATAGATTATTGGCAGTCCAGTAACAGTACTTCTTAATTCTTCAAGTGAGTTCTTTTTTGTTTGTTCTTTTTTTAAGTTCTGAAGTAAAACCATGATTCTTATTTCAGATAATATTTTATAAAAATGGTGTCAATCAAGGTGTGGCTTACAAAGATATTTTTGAAGGAGTTTACTTTCCAGCCATTTCACTGTACAAGAGCTGCACGGTATGTATTATATGTTCATCCTCTGAACAGAATTTGAGGGAAGTATTTTCAATAGGT